ACAACTAACTAGGGGGAAACGAGAAGGAAGCGCGGAGCGTCTGGCCAGGCGGGGCCAGGAGGCGGGGGACCCTCGGGCCTGTATGGCAACGCTGACCGCGAGCTGGGCACAAATCACGCAAGACGACTGTGCTGGAGAACGGGGAAGGGGAAGGGAGAGCGGGGGGCCCGTCAGTGCTCAGCCCGAACCCGCCAGAAGGGAAGTCAGCAGGCCAGGGCTTGAGATGACGAGTCAAAAGGAGCAGCACAGGTATGTCACTCAGAAGCAGGAGCCGCACGACACGGCTGCCGAGGCGAGGCCACCGGGAAGCAGGGCGCCGGGGGCTGCCTAGGGCGCCAGCCTGAGTCCTCTGCGCTTGAAAGCTTGTGAGCTGTTCCCTTCGGAGAAGAAATAAAGACGAACACCCAGCTTACATGTATGTACAGTGACCTACAGAAGGAACACCTGTGGTTATGTTGGCTCCCTAAGATCTCCCGTCTCTTCTGTCAACTTTCAAAGGGGCGCAGCGATCGGAACACAGAAGGCACGTGAGTGGAGGGGATTTACGGAGCTTCGCCCACGGCTCACCATTGCTACAGACGACTGAGGAAGGTTTCCAAAGGGGCGCGAACGTCCGAAGTTAGGCTTTAAGAACCGTATCCCAGGGCGCCTGGGGGGCTTAGTCGGTTAAGCATCCGACTTCGGCTCAGGTCATGATCTCACGGTTCGTGGGTTCGAGCCCCGTGTCGGGCTCTATGCTGACAGCCAGCTCAGAGCCTGGAGCCCGTTTCGGATTCTGTGTCTCCCTCTGTCTCTGCCCCTCCCCCACTCGCTCTCTGTCTCTGTCTCTCAAAATAAAATAAAGACATTAAAAAAAAAAACTAAAGAACCATATCCCACAGAGGCAGGGGTGGGAGAACAGCCTTGCAGATGGAACATGGCTTACAGAGCCTCTTGTGGAGGTCGGGGTAAAAAACCCAAGTTTGGTTTAACAAAGAATCCGCTGTACGAAGAAAGTCCAGGCCTTGACCCTGGAGCCGCATTGTGTCACTGTCACACACCGGCACGGCTGCCGGGCCCTAGACGCACGTGACCTTCCAGCGACTTGCTCGGCTCCATTTCTGATTAGATCTGCAGTGAGAGACCCGGTTTCGTGCCGTGGCCGCCTGACTGACGTGCACAGCGCCCGGAGCGCACGGCTGTCGTAGCCACGGTCATTAGGACAACACGGAAAACCGAGACGAGCCTCAGCCTCGTAAAGGTCCTAGGAGAATGCGCCTCCTGCAGTCTCCGCGGCGGTAACTTAGATGAAACCCATCTACTGCTCGCTGAGAAAGCAAGGAGGTGCGCGGTTCCTACGCGGTGGCAACGGGCAAGAAAAACAGGGGTGAGTCCCAGGACGGAGGGACGCGCGTGGGCCCGGGGCCCTGCTGCTCAGAGAGCACACGTGTGGCCAGTCTCCGGCTTCATCTGCGAGGTCAAAGGCACCAGGTCGGCTGTCCCAGGAGCTGAGGGGGCCTCCCACAGCTGCCGGGGAGGGGGGGCGGGGAGGATACACTCCCTGTGCACACATCCGGGCTCCTCTCAGGGGGCGAAACTGCCAGCAGGAGAACAGGAAATGTTTCAAATGCACCCTACTCTGTTGGCGGGGGGTGGTCTCTAAAATATGAGGGGAAAATGTGAGCCACCGACACCCACTTGGGAGTAGAAGCCAGACTTTCCTGCAAGGCCCTGCCCCCTCCAGCCCTGCTCAGAAAGCCCTGCTCACTCACCATGTTGCCGGGCTGGACTGGCCACCTTTGCATTGGCTGTTCCCTCTGCCTCTGACACGCTTCCACACTATCATGTGACTTACTCTCTTCCCCTAGGATGTGGGCCCTTTCCCCGTCGACCGGATCTGAAACGCATCCCCCCACCCCCCCACTCCCCGCTCCCCCCTGGCCCTGTTTTCCTTTCCTCTGGAGCACACGCCGTTCTCCACTTCTCTAAGGACTTGGTTCTGGTCCTTTGTGCTGGGGGCGGGGGGGTGGAGTTGCCCATGACTGGCTCTCCGACCCACCCGGCCTCATGCGACGAGCAGGAGGCGCCCAATCTACTGTTTGTTCAATTCATCAGAACGCAGTCAACCAGGGTCCTGAGCCCGAGAACATTTAGAACTCTGCCTAAAATTATACTTTGAGATCGCAAGTCTTTCCCCCGATTCAAAACAGCACTTTCTTAGCGGATGACAATCAGCGATCCAGACCTCACCAGCCCTGGTCTGTCCCCTTCAACTGCCAAGTACGAGTAGCGTTTTCTGGGGAGATCCTGCTAAACCCTCAGGGCATAGTCTGGCACCTCAAATCCTGGTGTGTGTTGCACCGGGGTCCTTACACTGAGTAAAACCACCTGTTGTCACCGAGAGTGAATCCGGATGGAAATGCATTAGGACACCCTCTTCTCCCCAGGCGCCGTGTCCCAGGGTGCCTGGGTTTGGTTCAGCTCGTCCATGAAGCGTTCATCACCTCCCAGGAACTGTGTGCAACTGGGACCTCCAGGCAGATTCCTAACAAGGAGCCCAACCCTGCAGACTCACCTTCTGGAGAACATTCTGGTGAAATAAGGACGTGGCTGCATTAAAAACCTAAAACTGTACCAAGTTTCTAACGGGAGCGGGTGGTGCGGGACGGCATCCTCTAGTGGCCGGAGACGGAAGTTCAGCACCATGACGCTGTAACTGTGTTTTAGTTCAACTTTCACTCCCTTTCCTGCTTACAGGTCTTTTGCATTCCACGGCAATTTTGCTTTGTTTTGTTTTTAATGTATTTTGTTTCTCGGAGAGAGAGAGACAGCGTGAGCAGAATAGGGTCAGAGAGAGAGGAAGACACAGAATCTGAAACAGGCTCCAGGCTCAGAGCTAGCTGTCAGCACAGAGCCCAACGTGGGGATCACGACCTGAGCCGAAGTCGGACGCTTAACCGACTGAGCCACCCAGGCGCCCCTCCACGGCGATTTTTAACATTAAAAAAACTACTTCTCGCGGACCATGCGTTTCATGACCTACTGCTACGCTGAAAAGTCCCGACTGGCTCATTGAAAGACTGGACTCCTGCCTACCTCAACCATCTCTTCACACAATCCAGAGGAATGAAGCAGCCCAGGGACATCCTACCGCAGCTTATTTTAAATACGTGTTCTTTGGGGGGAAACACCAGCGCCTCGCCTACGCTGGCCCTAGGCCCGGAAGGACTCCAGGAAGGAGCTGCGACAATGGGCGGGACACAGCAGGGGGCAGTCCCAGGGCTGGCCTTAGCCTCAGGGAACGGTTCTCCCCAGTCTCCTCCTGAGGGCTCCAGGCCTCCCTCCCTGGCCGAGGGCGCCCAGACCCCTGCGTTAGTGCCGGAGCTGGTGGAGACCGTGATCCCCAGGCGCAGTCGCAGGGGTGGGGGTGCAGCCCCATCAGGGGAGCACTTCAGCTGACTGGGAAGACAAGCAGGCCCCTGAGGGCTGCAGGGCTGCCAGGGAGGACCGTGTGAGCCCAGCCCACGCCACCCTGCATCAGAGCATCCCCTCCCCCGTTCTGCGCAGGCTCGTCCAGCCCACAACATCTCAGGCCGAGCCGCGTGGACCCACCGGGGGAGGACACCCCAGCACCCTCCTCCGCCAACATCAGTGTCAAATGGGAAAGAAGGTACGTGCACATCACAGGTGACTGCAGACACGAAGCACTTCCGTTTTAGCCTTTCCCGCACTGGAAACACCGTGTTCCTGCTCAGGGGGGCCAGCATGATCGGATGCCTCTGACAAACCTACCAAAGCAAAGGCCCCGCTCGTAGCCACTGTGAGCAAGTGGTCAGAGAAACGCCACAGAACAAAGCAGGAGGCGGAGGTCGAAACTGCTGATCATTCCAGAAACCTGACTTGCTCAGACTCCTCCCAAGCACCTGCCCGTGGGCGTCCCTATCATCAGCGTCCCCATTTTCCTAAGCGACAGGGAAGTGGCCTGGCTGAGGTCACAGCGCAGGCCGGGGAACAGCTGGGGTGGGGGACCCTGTGCCAACTGTTCGGGCTGTGCAGGACATGGGAGCGCCTGCCCTTCGGTGCTGAGGTGTCTTCTGGGTCCTCTGAATGGACATTTCCCTTGGTGGCCGCCACACGCCTCCCCTCTCCGCCCACCCTGAATCTGTAGTCTCGGACCGCTGGTCCGTCATAAAGCCCGCTGATGGCGCACCGTGCAGTTCGGCAGTTCCATCCCCGGCTCTGCCAGACACTCGCAGCCAGACCCTGCTGGCACTTTAGCGGGACGAGGTGCGGGGTGGGCGAGAGGATGTCAAGAAACCCACCAAGTGTGGCTCAGTCGGTTAAGCGTCTGACTCTTAATTTCCACGTAGGTCATGATCTCACAGTTCGTGGGTTTGAGCCCCACATCCGGCTCTGATGCTGACAGCGGAGTCTGCTTGGGATTCTCGCTCTCACTCCCTCTCTCTCTGCCCCTCCTCCATTCACGTTCTCTCTCAAAATAAATAAACTTAAAAAATCAAAAACAGAAGTGCACGTTATACCCCAACTATAACGTGAAGAGAGCACGAAGCAGTCAGAGGGTGACCCCGTGCACGACCATCGCTAATGTGATGGCCAAAACCACAGGCAGGCTGGGCTTCTCTGTGCCCCCATCAATCGGCAGCGAGCAGTCAGCAGGCGGGAAGGTCTGGGGGAGACGGGGACACCGGTGAGGGAGCAGGGACCCGCAGGCCTGGCGGCGGCCGGCACCAAGCTCAGCCGTCGTTGGGAAATTCCGCCCCAAGTCTGAACAAGGTGACCACCACCTTGAAATACACCAGCCACCCCGCTCCCCCCGCAGATCCCCAAGACGACGGTCACCTCCCTCCATGTGTCCCCAGCACTCCCAAGTCCCACAGAGAACAGTGAGCGGTGCCCTACGTCACTCTCTAGCTGGGAACACTGCCGCCAGTGATGTCATCTCAGAAGCAGAAGTGACACGTCACGCGCAAAGTCACTGGGAACGAAAACCATAAAGTGCGTGAAACACTTCTTGGGGACTGACCCCTTTTATTCAGGTGCAAACAAAACGGGGTCTTAAGCACAAACAGGGTCAGCGTGCAAAGGTTACGTGGTTGAGTAAGCGAAACCCAAGAAACCAGGAAGTTCTAGGCCCCAACAATTGCATTTCAGGCACACGGAACGAGGCAGAAAGAACCCAGCACACGTGCATCCTGCACAGACCTTCCGGTAAACTCACCTGCAGAGAAAGGAGACGTCGTCAGTTTTTACTGTACCCGGGCAAGTCTGTGAGCACCATGCGACGCCCCCCGGAATCCGCCCAGAACACGAGGTGGGCGGTGCCCCCCCCACCCCGTGACCCTGCTTCAATCAGCCCCCCTCCTTGCAAGCCTGCGAGATGGAGCCCGAGGGCTCACGAGCTTCTGTTTGGAGGCACCCACAGTGACTTCCTAACCAGCTCCCTCCGGGCTGTGATCTGCACTCAGGCCCGGGGCCTTCCTCACATGCCTGCCTGCACGGGAGCCGCCGCGCCTGAGCTCTGGCCGAGCTTCTTACCCCACTCCCACCCATGCGTCCCTCCAGTCTTCCCCGCTTCCGGCCATTTGGGCCCCCAGTCTGGCCCCAACTCATGAGCTGCCCACAAGCTCGAGCATTTTCGTGCTTCCCGCCTTCTGCCCCCACGGGGGTCCCGTTCTGAGACGTCCTGTGGGAAACATCCCTTCCTGATGTTCCACAGCGCTGAGGACACTCGCCCTGCAGGTGCTAAGCCCCTGAACACCCGGGACCGCTTTTCCTCACGTGCCCTCGGAGGCCTAGACGTGACCCCGGCAGGCACTCCTCCATCTGTGTGCGGACGGCGGACCAGCCAGAGGAAGGAGGGGCAGGAGGACTTCCGGCCAAGAGCCTAAAGGCACAAGTTCCCCCAGCAGGCGCTGCGGTGTGAGCTCCTCAGCGACGATGGGGGGAGGGTTCTCAAAAAGCAGGACCCCCCTCAGCCTTTACCCGGGCCCGGGATGAGGTGCAGGAGACTTAGAGGGTATGCGTGTGGCACGATCCCAATAAAGGTGCCCCTGCGCCCTCCAAAACGCGCTACGTGCGTGCCTGACATGGTGGCCACCATCTACATATGACTGTATACACTGAAATGAACACAAAACACCTGGCTCCTCAGTAGCCGCCTGAGGCTTGTGGCTGCTCGCCTGGACTAGGCGGGTACAGACCATTTCCCTCACTGCAGAATGTTCCACTGAACACAGTGTTCTCTTGAAATTACAGATTTAGCACCTCATGCTCTTGTTTAAAACCCATGACCCCCCTGGGGCGCCTGGGTGGCTTAGTCAGTTGAGCGTCCGACTTTCACTTAGGTCATGATCTTGCGGTTCGTGGGTTCAAGCCCCGCATCGGGCTCTGTGCTGACTGCCAGCTCAGAGCCTGTAGCCTGTTTCAGAGTCTGTATCCCCCCCTCTCTCTGACCCTCCCCTGCTCACGCTGTCTCTCTCTCTCTCTCCTAGGAATAAAAAAAACAAAACAAAAACAAAAAACAAAAAAAACCCACCATGACCCTCCACATTCTTAGGAAAGATAGAAATGCTCACACAAGCCACAGGCCCTGTGTGGTCTGCCCCTTCCCCGCCTTTTCAGCTCCACTCCACACCATTCTCCTTGCTTTTGGGGTTATAATGGCCTTCTTTCAGCTCCTCCCCTAGCCACATTTGCTAGGCCACAGGGCCTTTGCACCGGCTGTCCCGGGCCTTCCATGGAGGCCCCACACATCCTCCAGAGTCCAGCTCAAGGATCCCATCCTTAGGAAAGCCTTCTAAGGTGTGATTGCAGGTGTGATTCACCTGCAAACAGAACTGTGCGTTCCTTCGGAGTATGGCCTCAGCCTGAATTACACCCTCTTCTGTGCAATCATTTAATCGCTTCTCCCCGACAGGGATGTAGTTCCCTGAGAATACGGGCCTGGGCTGTTCTGTTCATCTCTGTACCCCTAACGTTTAGCACAGAGCCTGGTCAAAACTATCAATATTTATCAAGTCTCTAAACTCCGTTTACAGATTTTTGGAAGCCACCAGTCTCGGGTACTAACTGTAAGCGTTTTCTGTTTTCAGAGTAGGTCCTGTTTGCAGTATCATACATGATCATCAAACTGCTGCTAGAATGTTCACACCTGTTACTGCAAATTCAAACCCCAGGAAAAACTGCTCCCGGGAATTTACTGTAGGTCAGGGTTGGGCTGCCTGGTACAAGGCTGCACCCGCAACCGGGCGGGTTCAGCAACACGGGAGCCTGTCCCCGGACCATCGGCCTTAAGGCTCTTCGTCCCCGCGCCTGACATACCTGGATCCTCCAAAGTGAGGGCGTTCAGTGCTCTCGCCGAAGAGGAGGAAGCGGCCTATCGGTGCCTGCCTGCATCTAATCGCCGGGGGCTTGGAAAATTCTCGTTTTCCGAGGAAACTCTGGGGAAAGACTAACACAAGGTGCTCTTGTCTCATCCGCTATCTACATGCTCCCCAGAACCCGCCATGGTCCCCCCGCGGGGCCGCACCTACCACCGCCCGCCCCGCCCCGTCCCGGCTTCGGAGCCCGCGTTCGGCCCGAGCCCGCTCTGCCTCCCCGCCCGGAGCCTGCGGGGAGCGCCCCCTGAGGCCCGCGCCCCTCCGAGAGTCTTAATCACCGCCCCGGCGACCAGCTGGAAGCGAGGTGTGGGGGGCGACGGGGTCCTTCCCCCCCCCGCCAGCCCCAACACGAGGAAGCACGCTTCTCCACCAGCGGCCCGCCCCCTGCGCCAGAGCCGCGGACGCATGGACTACCGGCCGGAAGTGACGACTCACCATAGAGGCGGCAGCCAGAGGGTCGCCCTGGGCTTTGAAACTCGGTCCTCCATGGCCGTCTTAAAGGGGCCGAAGCCGGGGATGCGGGTTCGCGGGGATGTGCGCCTGGTGGGGGAGAGCCCTAGGGCCAGGGAAGCGGAAGGGACTCGTGTTTTCGAGGCTCATCCAACCTATGGCATATATCAGTGCTTCGTTTTTGTGTATGGCTAAATAACATTCCACTCTAATAAGCAAGGATTTTTTTAATGTTTATTTTTGAGCAGCAGGGGAGGGGCCGACAGAGAGGAGGGTTCAGAGGATCTCGGCACTGACAGCAGTGAGCTCCATGCGGGGCTAGAACTTACAAACGGAGAGATCAGGACCTGAGCCGAAGCAGGCAGTTCAACCCACTGAGCCACCCAGGCGCCCCAATAGGCAGGGCTTTTAAGGTTATTTCCACACCAAGAGGAGTGTGGAGGTGCCAAATGCTCCCACTTGGCCTCAATGGTTACTTGCTCGAGCTACATAAAGGCACACACTGCCTCTCCTCTGCTTCCTTTCTGGCCTTTCCTGCAGAGATGGGCGGACAGCCAGCACAGGGACTGGACATCCCCTGAATCTCCTGGGCAGAGCCTGGACCTCACCTCCGCCCCCTGCTCCGTCCTCAGTGTTCAGTGGCCTTCTTAACGCAGAGCCACCTCTGGCTGCCCAAGGGCTGCAGGCGGCTCGCCCTGAACCATCTCACAGACAAGGGGAGCCCCAGCCTCTGGAATCGCCCCCCCCCCCGCCTGTTCTCTCGCATCTGGGTTCTCACTGATGAAGTTTTGGGGTGATGGGGGGTTCGTGGGGTTTGGAGCCCACGGTCAAGAAAGAATTCCTGAAGATGTCTTTGGTGCAAAAAGCATAGGAACAGGACCCGTGGGCAGGAAGAGCTGCACTGGGGTCCTGGCTGATAACTCATTAGATACCCTCAGGTTGGGAGGGGGTCAGGGATAGAGTAAGTCTCTAAGAAATTTTGGAAGCAAGATTTCCGGGACCTTGAGAGGCCAGCTGTTGCTAGGAAAATGCCATTTATTACCATTTAATAAAACCTCAGGCATGAGACTGGGTCATATGTACATCCCATATACATTAGATATATAGCGGGGGCCATAGCTTGGAGGAGGCTTGTCAGCGTACATCTTGGGGCAGTTGGGATAAAGGAAGTAGACTTACAGGGTCCTCGAGGCTGGGACAATGTGAAGCCAAGGTTCCCTTTTGCCCCCACCAAAGGTCATCATCGAGGCAGCTGGGCTCCTAGAGGGAGGTCCCTCTGCAAGTTTCAAGGACTTGTCGATGGGCTTGTCCATGGGCTGTAGGCAGTAGGGAGTTTAGTGCTTCATTTGCCTTAGTTTCTCACTGTGGCCAGCACCTAACCCCCCTGCCTTTGTTCTTGGGGGGCCAGGAGTGTCTGAGGAATATCACACAGATCCCACGGCGGGGGAAGGGGGGAGGGGGGGGTGGTGCTAGCTGGTGCTCCACCCCCCAGCCTGCCTCCGGCTCTCTCATGCCGCCTTCTGTGCCCTGTCCAGCTTCTGGCCTGGCCTCCTCTCTCAGGCTCCCCAAGGAACATCCTGAAAGAGTGTGGGGTGTTGGAGGAACAGGTGACAGAAAGCCAACTCAGCTTATACTAGAAAGCGGACTTACTCGTTCGTGGAACGGATGTGTCCAGGGGCGGAGGAGCCGCAGGGGCTCCAGAGCCCCATCACGGGATGGGGTCAGGCCTCTGGACCTCTGGCTGCCCTCCCTCCTCTCCTCTCCAGGTGGTGGAGGGAGGGTGGGGGTGAGGGGCGGCACAGAGAGAACACTTCTGGCACGTGTGAGGCTGGAGGGACAGTGGTACAGTGTCTGGGATGCAAGGGACATTTCGTGCCCTAGTTCCTGGACCTTGTCCATGTCTGTCACCTCACAGTGAAGAAGGGACTTTGCCGACATGATAAAGTTAGGAGGCCTGGGGTGGGGAGATGGTCCTGGACTCTCCAGGTAGGCCCAATGTCATCACAAGGGTCCTCGTGAGCAGGAAGCAGGGGAGTCTGGAGATGTGATGGGAAGCTGCTGCACTTGAAGGTGGGGGGAGAGGGCCATGAACTTGGCATGCAGTGACCTCTAGAAGCCGAAAAGGGCAAGGAAAGCCTTTTCCTCTGGAGCCTCCAGAAAGAACCAGCTCTCCAGATGATGAGGTTTTTGGGGTGATGGGGGAGTTTGTGGGGTCTGGAGCTGACGGCCAAGAAATCTTGAGATGACCTGGGTGCAAAAAAGTGATTTTATTAAAGCCTGAGGACAGGACCTGGGGGCAGGAAGAGCTGCCCCGGGACCATGAGGAGAGACTGGTTCTACACTATGGATTTGGGGGAGGTAAAGTCCAGGGGAAGTTTCCAGTGAGATTTTCATACACCAAAGGAGACTCCCAGGATACTGGAGGCCTGGCTATTGTCAGGCTAAGGTGGTTTTTCCCTCCAGCAAAGCATCAGCATGAATGGGAGCTCCTGGAGAAATGTTTTACTCCAGTATGTATCAATGGGCTACAGGTTATAAGGAAATTTAATTTTATCTGCCGTTTCCTTCTGCCTTTGTTCCCCAGACCACAGTCACCTTGAGTTACCTATCACATTTGGCCACCAGGGGTTTAGAAAATACAGCCTTTCAGTGGGGTTCCCCTGCTCCCCGAGGGACAGGGGCTATTGGGAGGGGACTCTGGTCTTTACTTCCGGTGCCCTGCAGGGAGTTTGGAGGCCCAGGAGTGAAAGTCCCAGGCGACAGCTGGTGCTCAGAAGTGGCCGATGTGCTGCCCTGTGTCTTTCTTTTCAACAATGTCCCCTCTGAACCCCTCTGAACACCGAGCACATTTATACCTGTAATGGGAACGCCGCGGGTTGGCAGTGATTCACTGATTTGCGGACCTGTTACTTTGGTGTGACGACCTCTTCCGGGTACAAGGGTCACAGTGGAGAGAGGGAAGCAATGGCCCGGTCTGGAGTGATGCCCAGTGGTTAGCGGAGGGATTCTGGCTCATCTTAATGAAGATTCTTTATCCCCTTTGGCCTAGTGGCTCAGAGAGGCCCGGGAGGAACTGGCTAAGCCTGTTACCACTCTGAGTGGCTCCGGATGTCCTCGCCCAGAAGCCAAGGGGCTGGGGCAACCCCGGGACTTAGCAGACAAGGACTCTGTTCTGTACCCACCTTCGGAGACTTCCTACGGGGGCCCAGCGAGTCCTGGGGTTTGAATGCCAGGGTATTGCGCGCCTTTGAATGTGACACCCCAGCACAACCCCTTTCTGGGGATGTCCTGTCCTGGCTTTGCAGGGCTAGCCCCCTCTCCACACTGCTTCCCCTCTTTCTCATCAGTGTCGGGTAGGGGAGGACTTCCAACGCGCCAGGGGTTTTAAGTGCACTGCCTGGTCCCCACGACAGTCACATGAAGCAGGTATTATCATCACTTGTGCAGATGAGAAAAACTGGCACAGGGGTTAGGGGCACAGACCTGGCAGGTGGTGGAGCCCGGATCTGAACCCAGAGTGGATATTCTCAACCCTACACTACACCCCAAATCTGAAGCCTGCCCCCCCACCCCCCGAGAAGTAGTCCAAGCAGGGCTGCCAGATTCAACAAAGCAAAACAGAGGACACACATAAGTATGAATTTCAGATAAACAACAAATAATGTTTTTAAATGGGGGAACCTTTTTTTTTTTATTTTTGAGAGAGAGAGAGACAGAGCACGAGCGGGGGAGGGGCGGAGAGAGAGAGGGAGACACAGAATCCTAAGCAGGCTCCAGGCTCCGAGTTGTCAGCACAGAGTCCGACGCGGGACTCAAACTCAGGAACCGTGAGATCATGACCCAAGCGGAAGTCAGACGCTCAATCGACTGAGCCACCCAGGCACCTGGGGTGGGGGGTGGAGAAATTTATTTTAATGTTTATTTTTGAGAGAGAGAGAGTGTGGGGGGGGAGGGGGAGAGAGAGGGAAACAGAGGATCTGAAGCAGGCTCCTTGCTCACAGCAGAGAGCCTGGGGCTTGAACTCACATGAGATCACGACCTGAGCGGAAGTCTGACGCTCAACCGACTGAGCCACGCAGGCGCCCCAACAAATAATTTTAAGTGTAAGTATGTTCCAAACAGCCCACAGGACAACAGAGAAGACTTTGTTTTTAGCCACCGTACAACAGATCACTGTTCTCCTTTGTAGGGCCTGGAGACCTGGGAGATAAGCCTTCAAAGAAGACGGAACAGTCACCGCACCATAGAAAATGTTCCTGCCTGGGGCTTGCATGAGGCTCCCTCCCACGGACACACCCTGACTCCGGATACACTGAGGTGTGTGGTTGTTCAACTGGCCTCAGCTTACATTTTACATCCATGAATGAAATGCAGCAAGGAGGCTCCCATCAGCCCCCCAAATGCTCCTCCTGGGAGCTCCTGGCCTCCCCTTGCCGAGGGGAGAGAGGGTCTGTTTCCAGACCCTCAGGAGGGGCAGCAAAGCTGTGCCTAGTGCACCCCCACTGAGGGAGGGCAGCCCCCCTGCCCAGGCAGGAGAGGCAGTGTGACAGAGCGTGCAAAAGTATGTGTGCTGAGTTGACCCCCTGCTCCCCCAACCCCAGGGCTGACAGGAGTATCTGGAATGATGTGGTAAGCTAGCTACTGATTGTTTTTTAATGTTTATTTATTTATTTTGAGAGAGAGAGAGTGAGCAGGGAAGGGG